AAACATGCGGTGTTCGTGAAAAAGCAACTCGTCGCGAAAACAAAAGCTGTCGTTGCCAGCTGTCAACTGGTGTACTAGGTTTTGCCCATCTGTAGTTGTATAGAAGATTCATAAATCAGAAACCCAAGTGGGATCAACTATTGTAACGCCCGTAGATCCGGGCTAGTCAATTTATAGACGATAAGTATCAAAAAATGACTTTTTGATGGAAGTTTGTTTAGAATGAATCATCTCAACCAAGTTGAAGTATATGTCACAAGGTTTCCGAAAATATAAAGAATGCCGAAATCCGAGTTATAACGGAGAAGTTATGACCTGTCGAAGTTTCGCGACAGAACCGGCACGACACGGCGCGACGTAAATAGTGAATTTACGATAGAGCGATATTTGGATTTAGCGATCTAAACGAAAGTCGTAGAATACGTTAAACCGAGAGCGTGCATAAAAAGAACGTCTAAATCTGACTTCGTATGAGGAAGTTATGATTTTTCGAAATTTCGGCTTAGCAGTGTACAACCCGAAGTTCGAATATGAGATCGAGCGATATTTAGCTGAAACAATCTAAACGAGAATCGAAGATCTCGTCGTTAGTAGTCCAACGGTAAAAAGACAGACGAAAACGGACGTCGGATGAAGAAGTTATGATTTTATAACAGAGTTTTCCTGTCCCGGCCTACTAAAAATAATATAATAAAAATAAAGTCAAAATTAGCCGACGGAGTCTAAATGAAGTTGTAGAGCATAGTCTCACCTACGCGTGGATATAAAGAACGTCGAAAACGGAGCTCGTATGCGAAAGTTATGAATTTTTGAAGATCGTGGCACGCATACCAAAGCTTATCCGAAGCGTACGCCCAGCGTACTCCGAAAATTACGCCTAGCGTAATCCTAGTTTCAGCACCCTATAAATAGAACTCAAGGGCTGCCGAGTTTTGTTTCCCAATTCTTTCTTTCCTCCTATATTTTCCTCGTTTTGCGTGCAAGAAATACCCCGAAGCCCCGGTATTATTCCCGAGACCCGAAGCAAGTCCCGAAGCCCCGAAGATCCTGAGAAGCAAATGTTTCCGAGCCGAGACTCTACCCGCGTAAAGCCCGGTTTTGGAGAAAACGTCCCGGTTTTATCGGAAAAGATTATTTTAAGAAACGAGGTGTTGTCCGATCATCGTGTTATCAAGTGAGTGTATATTCGTTTTCTTCTAACATATAGATATGAAGTATTCTTTATAAAATACGTGCTATGTGTTTATATATTATTTTGTTTATTTGAACTAGTGGTTGAATGGATGTTTTGTACAGGTTTTAAATGTATATATTTTATCTACTAATATGTTGGGTAGAACATGGGTAGACAGTTGGTGTGTGATGAGATAAAATGATGAGAGGCCTCGTTGTTGTTGCTGATTCAGTCATCTAGCGGAGTTTAGATGACGACCACAGACTTTTCTAGACGGTCCAGTTGAACGCTAGCAGGCTCATTACCTGTAGGTGTTAATGAACTTGGGTGTTCATTTGCTGTACTCCATCCCCCCCATGGTTGCCTTATTTGACATAAATTGCTGGGAAACCCCCCCAAAGCAGTGTTGTCGCCCCGATGAAAATCCTTAGGCTAGGTCCCTTGTGATAGTTGTTTTAGGGACATAAAGTGAGGATAACGGGAATGGGTAATTGGGTTATTGTTGATTGACAAAATTAATATAATCATTTATTGTGGGTTGAAAACCCTATATGCTCACCAGGCTCCCAAGCCTGACCCACTCAGTTTTTCTTTGTATTACAGGTAGTGGCACGAGAGCATAAGTTGGATGACATCGTTAAGATATTTTTGGATTATAGACCAGTAGTTATATGTAACTGTTGTGAGGTCTATTTTGTATTGTTTATGCTTTTGGTCTGTATCGGAACATGACATCCCGAGTTTTGATATATAATGAAAATACATTTCTTCAAGAAATGCTTTGATAAACTTTATTTTATCATATTCTGTTTTGGGGACAAATTTCCGCAATTCTTTTAAATCAATGGATTTACTCTGAAATTATTTTAAAAGCATAAATAAAACCGGTCTTTTCTGGCCGAGATTTTGGGGATGTCACAACTATCGAGAGAGCGAGTAACTGGGGTTGTTCAATGCGGCTAAGGGCGTCGGCGACGAGGTTTCCTTTTTTTGGTTTGTAAATGATTTCGAATTCGTAACCCAACAGTTTGGTGGCCCATTTATATTGCTCAGGTTTGTCTGGACTACTTGGGAGAGAAGGTGTTTTAAGCTTCGTTGATCAGTGAAGATACGGAACTTTCGACCAATGAGATAGTGGCACCATTTCTTTACAGCTTCGGTGATGGCAAATAGTTCACATACGTAAGCCGACGCCACCTGCATGCGAGAACACAACCGCTTGCTAAAGAAAGCAATAGGGCGATCAGATTGAGAAAGAACAACACCAATAACCATGTTGGATGCATCTGTAGTAACATCAAAGTTGTTAGTGAAATCAGGTAAGGTAAGAGTTATGAGTTTTATCATTGCTTCCTTGAGCTGTTGAAAAGATGTCGTGTCGTTGGTGGTCCAGACAAAGGTAGGGTTGCGAAGGATATCTGTGAGTCCTGTTGCGATGGCGGCATAGTGCTTGACGAACCGTCGGTAGTAACCAGTAAGCCCTAAAAAACCTCGTAAGGTAGTGAAATTGGTGGGTGTTGGCCATTGTTGGATAGCAGTGATTTTTTATGGGTCTGCTTGGACGCCTGCTGCGGAAATGATGTGACCAAGGTAATCGATGGTACTGGTGGCAAACATACACTTGGATAACTTTGCATGGAACTGGTGTTGTGCGAGTCTGGTGAAGACTTTTCCGAGGTGGTAGTAGTGTTGTTCAAGGGAGGGGCTGTAGACTAATATATCGTCGAAAAAAACGAGCACATATTGTCGTAAGACATCTCTAAACAAATCATTCATTGTCGCTTGAAAGGTGGAGGGGGCATTTGAAAGCCCGAAATGCATTACGAGGAATTCGTAATGACCATCGACTGTGTGGAATGTTGTCTTGTGCGTATCGGTCGGACTAACCCGGATTTGGTGATATCCCGCTCGAAGGTCGATCTTGGAGAAGATTTTAGCCTCATGTAATTCATCAAAAAGTTCATCAACAGTTGGGATAGGGTAACGATCTTTAACTGTAACCGCATTTAGGGCGCGATAGTCGACACAGAACCACCATGTGCCGTCTTTTTTCAAACCAGAAGCACCGCGGAGGAGTAAGGGTTGTTGCTGGGTTTTATTATACCATCGTGTAACATCTCGTTGATGAGTGTTTTCATTATCTGTTTTTGGTAATAAGGATACCGGTACGGTTTGACGTTAATTGGGTTGGCGGATGGGAAGGTGGGGATATGGTGGTCATTAGGTCGTGGGGGAGGAAGGTTGGAGGGAATCGTAAAGATTATTTGGTGTTGTTGGAGGAGGTGGGCGATGGTGGGATTCGAGTGAGATAGGGTAGCTGGTGGTGTATCTGTGAGGTGAGGCTGAAAATGGAAATAAAGGGAATGTAGGGAAGCAACACTATGTTTGTGAATGAGGGATTGGATTTAAGTTGGGGATGTCGATGTTGATATGGGCTCTCCTTTAAGTGTGATGGCTTTGGGCCCAACCTTGAAAGTAAGTTTTGGAATGGAGAAATCTGATAAGATAGGGCCCAAAGTGTTAAGCCAGACCAAACCTAGGATCTCATCGGCTCCTTCTACAGGGAGGATAAAGAACGGAAGGCGAAACGACGTGTTTTGGAGGTGGATTTCCAGGGTTGGATAATATTATGGGTGCTCCCTGAATCAACCAAAATCTTAAGCGGTTGATTGTTGATGAGTCCTGTTACGCAAAGAGCTTGGGGGGATGCCAATCCATAGTAGGCGGCGGATGACAGGGAAAGGAAGTGATATTGGGTTTGTTTTGGTGCTGTATGGACGACCGAATCATCCGTGAGGGCTAGAGTTTCTAATTCTAGGTCAGCCTCGTTGTCAACAATCATGAGGAATTAGGGAGGGTTACACTTGTGACCTGGGCTATACTTCTCAGGGCAACGAAAACACAAGCCCTCTGCACGTCGTTTTTGAAGAGCTTATGGAGATAATCGATTGAATTGTAGGGTGTTTTTGATGGGTGGTTCAGGGAGGAGTGGCGTGGTGTTGGCTGTTTTGGTTGGAGGGGTTGTTGAGGAGGATGGGTTGGCGTAGGTGGTGAAGGAAGTGTATGGTTTGGTTGGTTGGTAACGTGGTTTAGGGGAGGCGAGTTTCTCTTCAATAAGTTTGGCGAGGCCATAGGTTTGATGGAGAGTGGTTGGGTTTTGAAGTGCAATTTCGTTTTGGATGTCGGAGCGGAGCCCGAATATGAAACAGTTACAAAGGGAAACTGTGGAAAGTCCGTCAACACGATTGCTTTCTCAAATTCTGATTGATAGGCCGATATTGTCGTTGTCTGTTTGAGTTTGAATAGTGTAGCTTGATGGTTTTCGTAGGTGGACGGACCAAATCGGAGTTCATGAGCCTCACAGAACTCCGGCCAAGTACCTAAAAGGTAATTGTTTGCTAAGTGTTTATACCAACCGAGGGCATCACCAGAGAAATAAAAAATCGCCATATCGAGACGTTGGTGGTTGGGAATGTTGTAATAGGTGAAATAATTGTTTGCTTGGAATACCCAATCTAACGGATTCGTGCCATCGAAAGTGGGCAAGGCAATTTTTGGGGGGCGAGGGTGGTGGTGTGGCGGTGGGGGTATCTGCTGGGGTGGTTGTTGATTGGTAATGAGGTTGTTCATGTTGGTGGTGAGGGTATCCAGACGGTGGTTGGTAGTTGTGCTAAGATGGATCATGGCAGTCATCTGATCATTGGCATTTAGAGGTTCCTCAGGCTGGTTTTCTGGTTTAGGAGGCATGGTAAGCTGGATGAAAGCACCAATTGATAAAGCCTATTCGAGAAGGCAAATCTCCCACAGAAGAAGACAATAAGATGGAGCAATTTTCTGGGGTTTTTCATTCGTACCAAAAAAGACGCTTATAGACAATTTAAATATGCATGCAGTTACTATAAACTAGGAACAGAATGGTCATGGACCTTATGGAAAATAAACATTCTACAGACTCATGCAACTGACTCTAAAATAAAGGATTGACTAATTCAGTTAAGAGACTCATTCTTCCCACGTGTTCCTTGTTAGTCTTTGAACCTTGCAGGTCTTCAAATGTTTCTTTTGGGCCTCGCATAAGTACCAGTAGGTTTAATCAATTGTGGGCCTGCATCATCCTGGTATGGGTTCGTATCAAATTGTATATCAGAAAGAGTCCCCATTACAAAGAAACTAACGGTAACAAAAAAATTAAAACCCTAATTTTGAAAAAGAAAAAGATATGAGTTACCTGTAAATTGAAATCCTTGTTTTGGCTGCAATCACGAAGAATTAAATGAGTGTTGATATAATAGAAATTTGTCGCCGACCACCCGAATCCAGCCACCAAAAGCCAAACAGGACATGGACGGATCAGAGGATCGATGACTGCCTGGAGATGTCGCACATTCCGGAAAGCAATCTGACAACGTAGCTGAGCGTCCATCGTTTTACGTGTTGCTCGATGATGGAATTGAAGCGTTTGCAAAGAGAGAAAATCGTTGAAATAGAGAAGAGAAAGGAGAAGAAAACCCGATGGTGAAAAGCACCCCTGAGTAAGTGGAAGAACGACAAAAAAGACGTAAGAAATGGTTGTCGGTGGAGTTTCAGGTGCAGATGAAATTGGGAGGAGATAAAAAGAAGGCGGCGATGGATGGTCGGTGGAGTTTCAGCTATGCAACATCTCATTGGATGATAGAGGTGGTGCGGTGGATGGTCGGTGTTACTTAGCTAATCCCTTCCACTTTTAATTTATATATATATATATATATATATATATATATATATATATATATATATATTTAACGGTATATAAGTTTAGGTACCCAAACTCACATACTATATCATTTTGTATCATATATATACATTGTAATTGTCTAATGTTCTTATAATTCAACTTATAACTTAATTTACTTCGAAGATTATTATAAATTTCACATTCATCTTCCTCTTACATAATTTTCATTTTCAATTATAATATATATAACTTAGTAGGTGTTCGACAAAAAATGTGATGTAAGAGGAAGATAATAGTGAAATTTCGAAAATCTTGAAGTAAATCAAGTTAGTGGTTGAATTATAATGAATATATCAAATAAAACGACGCATTATGGTGGCTCTGGGTAGATATATTGGGCAACTCATTTTAAAATTCAAATTTACATTTTCTAATTATATGTTAAATTTGAAGTTATAATAACTTTAAAATTTTGATACATTTCTTAATTAATAATTTATTTAAAATAATTGATTAATAATTATAAATTTTTATTATTAAAGTTTAATTAATTTATAACCGTGGTTTCCACAGGTTATAAACTACTATATATATATATATATATATATATATATATATATATATATATATATATATATATAGATATATATACACTCCTTATAACCCGTGAGAACCACGGTTATAACAATTAATTAAAATTTCTTACTAAAAACTCAAAATTATTAATCAATTATTTCAAATAAATTATTTTTAAATAAATTATTAATTAAGAGATATTTTTTTAGTTATATAAAATTATAATCGTTGATTTAAATAAATACATGAAATTACATCATCTTATATCTATAACTTAAATTTTATTTTTATTATTCTAATTTATTAATTTAATATAATTAGAATGTAAAATTTAAAATTTGAAATTTGAAATGAATAATCAATTCATAATTTAATCTAATTAGAGTGGAAAATTTTAAATTTTAAATTTTAAATGGAGAATTAATAGGTTGACATGTGTCATGTAAGGTGACATATAATATTAATGATGATTTCTTATATTTGGGACCTTGTCAATAGGAGAATAAATTTTTTCATTTATTAGAATATAGATATTATATATATATATATATATCTATATATATATATATATATATATATATATATATATATATATAGACGATTCTCGCGCGTTGCGCAACGAAGATTAAAAATATATTGTTAAATATTGAAAAATCTGATGTTAAAATGGTTATGTTATGACATTAACCTTCAGATATATTTTTACACTAATTTATATTTATATATCTATATATATATATCTATATATATATATCATATATATATATATATATATACTCTCAATTCTTTTGACCAGTAATATTCATTGACATCAACCCACATTCCTAATTAATAGCATTAAATATAATTATCTATTTAGTATTATTTTTAACAATTATTATTATTGATTAATTATATTTTTACTTATGCAATCATTTTCTAATTTCAATAACGATGTTCATTTAAAATACAATTTATTTATAGCTAAATGTAATTTATATATTGATCTTATTATCATTTAAAATTGTTATTCATTAATGTTGAAACACTTATTATTAATAATAAGTTAAAGAAGACTTATAAGAAACACTTAATATTATTAAATGTGAAACATACACTAAATAATAAAGTGATAAGATAGACAATTTGCATTTCAAAAGAGGCTTGCATGGATAATATGACATATCCATGTAATTTGATTTTATTATTTATAATTATTGCTTATTAATTTTAAAACCACTTGTTATTATTAATAAGTGAAAGAAACTTTTAAAAATCACTTATTATTATAATTAAAATGTTAAACCGATATTAAAATATAAAGTGATAAGATAGATTTTCATTTTAAAAAAAGGCTTACATGGATAATATGGATAATATGACATACCCATTATTTTTTAATTAATTATTGTTTTGAAGCAACATGAACATACAAACATGTATACAATAGTTAATTAAATATTATATATACACCTTCCATAACATATGATCGATAACATGAATCTAATTTAATTTACATTAAAATTTCAACCACAACATACAATGATATTCTTAAAAGATACTTAAATCAAGAAAATACAAAAAAGAATTAGTATATAACAAACTTACAATTAAAAACTTCAACATAATAACATGGCTCAAAAATTGTTCAAAGCCCTCAAACCAACAAAAAACTTTAAACTTGTTTTCTTTGTGAATTTTTTTGATGTATGTGATTAGTATTTGTGTGTCTACTCAAAAAGATTGACATTTTTATAGTAGAGTATCCATTAATTGTTTATTAAATATATTATATAAGTTATAAACCTTTGAATTGTTAATCATTATTAAGAGACTTTGAGTGGTATTCATTAAAATTGGAGGTTTCAAATGCATGAGGTGTTTGCAAATTTTTATGGGGGTTTCAAATGCATGAGGTTCAAGTAAAAATTCTAGCTTTATAAATATATATATATATATATATATACATATATATATATATATATATAATTATATCTATATATTATATATATATATATATATATATATATATATATAGACACACGCGCGCGATTGTAGCAACAAAGAATGTTGAGATAGGCAACAAGGAACTAACTCAAGCCATACAGAACAACACTAAACAACACCAGAAGCAAATTTTTCTTTTGCTTTTCATAGTTTTTAATTTTACTATTTTTTTTCTTGACTGGTATAATTAATAAATACTTAAATCAAGGGACCCATCATTTAACTTACGAATTATGTTTTTCTTTCTTTTTTGTTTTTGCAATTTCAGTAGCATTCATGAATCGTGTAAAATTATAATGTGGAAAAAAGGACAGGGTTGTTACTCCTTGCAACTATAATGTCCTATTGGTTTTATTATAATTATGTGTTTTACTGCATAATGTCAATCTAAAATAATAATAAAATTGGAGTAAAATAACCTATTAGATCTTCTAATTTGTTCACTACCACGTTAACTGAAATGAAATATACATATGTTGCATTGAGAAATGGCCAAAAAAAAAAATGCACGGATATAATATCAAATAATCACTTTCATCTTCAATCATCTATTTTGTAAAAAATAATGTTTAAATTTTGTTTTTTCAGTAGTCATTGACATCATATTTCAATAGTCAAAGACATACTTGTGATTTTGTGATCGTTGAAACTATGATCGTGAATATGATCTTTCTAGCTGTGGTTATTTTTGTGATCACCTTGTAACTAAATCATATTTATGTCCATTTGGTCGTCCTTTTATCCAATTAGCTATTTCATTACTTTCATGAAACAACAATTGTATGATTCAATTCTGTGCTTAGTTGTTTTGATAATTTCTTGAATTCAAGATTATTTTATTTAAAAAATCATGAATCTTGGAAATATGGATATCATTGATCTGCAATAGTCTAATTCTAATGGAAATATTTTAATCTTCGTAACATATATAAGAATTGTAAGTCTTTATAGAAACATCTCTAACATTTTAGATGTAATAAGAAATTTGTTGTTCATGAAAATAGTAAACATGGATAAACATGTCAATCTAATTTTTAATCAAACTAAAATGAGTTGATTAGGTTATGGGTCAAAACTATGGTTGTCAATCGCGATCTTGATCGTAGTATCGTACGATCCTACGATCCTAAGTATGAAAAACGAATCGAATCATAAATAGATCGTATTTGGAGTAGGATCACAAGTAGAATCGTAAGACCCTAAGTAGGATCGTAGAATTTTTTTTTCCAAATGATTTTTTTACCTTTACCTTTTACCAATTTACCGTTTATTATTTTGTATTGCGAGTTATGACTATTATTTTAAAAATTTTATAACTTTTGAACGAAAAATTGAATGTTTGAAATATTTTTCATGTTTTAAAATTATAAATTAAAATTATGTTTTATTTTATGGGATCTTAGGATCCTGATTCCGATCATGCAAACTTAAAAACAATCATACATATGATCCCGATCTTGACAACTTTTGTCAAAACATGTATTTTTTCAATATCTAACTGTGTCGAATCAAAATAATTTGTTATTTTTTTAAACTTTATAATAAATATATAATATATTAAATATGGTAAAACAACCATTTAATTGCAATTGTGATTTAATGTTATGAATAAAAGGTTAAAAAGTATATGTTAAAAATAGATTTTTATTTTTTATTTTTGGTATTTTATTCATTTTATTGTGAACTATATTTACTATAATAACTCAAATGAATTGAATTATACAAAATTGTAAAAATGGTCATTGTGGTTGTTAAAATTATATGGTTTCATTTTAAAAAAATTGATGGTGCATTAGTGGTCCATTTTTGGATACCTTCTATGGTTTTGGTCCATATGGTTGGGATTTTTGTGTGGTTTTGGTCATCGATCAACCTAAAATGATTGATATGTCTCTTTAGTAATTCCTTTTTAATTTCTTTTATTACTTTTTATGACCTTTTAATTAAAATAATAATAAAATAAAAAGATTCTAACCAACCACCCACCCCCTCTCTATTTTCGTATCTCTCCCAAAACGAAGATCCCACCTATCGTCGTCGCGAACACCGTCGAAAACACCCTTGGAGCTTTAGTCATCATTGCTACTTCATTTCCCACCACTATCGATTAACACCACCACAAGAAAAATTAGAGCACGTTTATTTCAATTTGTCTCCTCCATATGGGCTCAAAGAGATCCAAGAGCGGTGGCCATGACTGGTGATTTTCTCCAAGAATGCAAGAACACAAGGCACACACAGTTTAAAATTCCATTTATGGGATGATTTTAGCTATGATTTGATTCAGCGCCACAATATACTTATTTGATTCCATTAACCCTAAACCTAGAAATGATATGAACATACGTATATGAAAATCGATTTGTAGAAATGGATTGTTTTTTAAAGCCCATAAACTTTTTTTAGACTTCTAACAACTGCGAGGAGAAAAGGCGGCGTTTGGCGGCGACCGATGAGGACGACCTTTCAGGTGGTAGAGAACGATAGCGAGGGTAGGAGAAGTTATGAGGTGTTCGTTAGTCGATGACGGTGCAGAGAGGGAGAGAGAAAGAGAGATGTATTTTTATAGGTGATTCGAAAACGGCAGGGGAGGTGGCGGCGTCTGGCGCGACGATAGAGACGTTTTCCGGTGGTGGTGGCTGAAAACGGGTTTCTTCAGAGAGAGAGAGAGAGAGAGAGAGGTGAGCTTTTTTTTTAATTTTAATTAATAAAAAAATAACATAAATAAATAAATAAAACAAATATAAGGAGTATAATCATCTTTGTAAGTATAAGAATCAAAATCACTTAAATTATCCGAAATTGGACCATGACACTACTAAACTTTTTTTTTTTTTACCAAAACCACATAATTTATAATTTTGAAAACTATAGGAACTATTAATTTTGTCATCAATTATAAGTCCACTAAATTGTGATGTGGGCCAAGAAAAATAGTACCTATCATTGTTCGACCCAAATCTCAAATCATAAATCTAACAATCCCAGCCCATCTCTCATCCATCAATATATCAAAGAATCGTAACAGATGCAAGATTAGGGTTCGTAATCATCTTCTTCTTCTTCCTCTTCACCGCAGACGTCGGCTACTCTTTGGTGAAGCAAAAATGGTGAAGGGTCGCCAGGGAGAACGTGTCAGGTATAATGTTCTCCAGGAATACCGACGCCTAATCCTTTGTGTTTAACAAAACTCAGTTTTTGCTAACATTTGTTTTTGTTTTTTTTTTTCTTCTTCAGACTCTACACTAGAGGAACGGTTCTCGGGTACAAGAGGTAAAGTTCGGATCATCATTATTGTTATTGTTTGTGTTTCTATAACATTGAAATCAGCTGATTTTTTTGACGATTTTGGTTAGGTCGAAGTCGAACCAGTACCCGAACACATCGTTGGTTCAAATCGAAGGAGTTAACACGAAAGAGGAGGTAGCCTGGTATCAAGGAAAGCGCTTGGCTTACATCTATAAAGCTAAGGTGAAGAGGGATGGATCACACTATCGATGCATTTGGGGAAAAGTTACCAGGCCTCATGGTAACACTGGTGTTGTTCGTGCTAAGTTCACGTCCAATCTTCCTCCTAAATCCATGGTAAGTATTCAACCATATATGAAAGTTTCATCATTTTGTTTCTGTGTTGCTTGTGAACTTTTTAAAAAATTTGCTTTTTTGTTTGTAGGGGAGCTAGGGTTAGGGTGTTCATGTACCCAAGCAACATCTAAGGTAATACATTTATTGTTGTAACATATATATTAAGGTATTGCTATGTTATACAAGAATCCACCTAGTTTATTAGGTTACGCATCATGGAATATGAGCATAATTTGAAAGTCTTCTGATGAATGGAATTTGCTTTCTTTGTGACTTTTGAGACTTTATTTGCCATGTCTTTTACTCCCTAAAATTGCAAGATATTTGTTTGGGACCTTTTCTTTTGTTTGCTACATTAATTTTTGTGGTAAAATGCCATTTGAAATACCAATCTGATCATTCATATTAATTCTTGTAATATCTGAATTTTTTTCACATTATTTGTTGCAGTTTATAGGGAGGGAGAAGAAGGAAAATGTTATTGGTGGTGTTTAACATGTTTTGTGATATTTTCTATTTGTTCAAGTTATTTGAATTTATGTTGGAATTGGTAATTGAACAGACATTGGAATGAGTTTTAGTCTTTTAGAAAGCTTTGTCACCATGGTTGTCTTCTGTTTGTAGAGTGTGAATCCGAAGCCTTTTATTTTTGGTAATTGTGGATTTGAAACCCTTCTTTGCCTATAAAGTTCACAGATTCATGTCCATTGATCTTAAATGGAACAAGTTTATGGATGGGTTTGACGTTTAAGCATTCATTTAGAATATTAACAATACTCAAAAACAGTGAGCAACAAGTCTTTTGTTTGGGCTTTTTTCTATTTCAAATGCTCCTTCATGGCACATGAACTTCCATTTGCTATTTCTACTAAAAGCACACCTTATAATGAGACAAAATGGATTATGTAATCTACTAGCAAACAATGAAGATGAAAAATATCATTCTAGCTAGATCGCCTTATCACATTTTAACATTTGTGGTTTTTGAGATTGGAGTGTTTGTCTTTGGTTGGTTTGCACATGTAATCGTGATATCATGTATCAAAGTCTTTGTGAGCATGTGTTGTTCTTTTTTAACTTTAGGTGTAAGTTTTTCTTCAATATAACTAAATATTTATAAGTAATTTGAAGGGTTAGGGTCGAAGTCTTAAATTTTGAAGTTAGATTTTGACCTTTCAATTATTGGGGTTAAGATACTTGAATTTGACATAACCTTCTTTAACATATGTTAGAACTTGATTGTATAAATCTTTTATATTTGGGGTTAAATTAGAAATTAGGGAACTTGAATTCCTACAAAATCTCAACTAGGGTATACTGTGCAAAATACTCAAGTTGAGGGACTAGTCTTGTCAAAATTTGAAAGATTTAAAGACGTAGTTCAACTAACGATTTTAAGAGAGGGAATAAAGGAGTTTTTTTACCACATTGGTGTTTTTTAATAACTTAACTAGAAAAGTATCCCCGCTTTGCGGGGGTCGGAAGCCTTTAATGTCGTTTTTCCGGAATTCTTCAATGTTGGTTTTTTGTTATAGTTAAATGGTACTACATTTAATATTCATTAGCTTGATTACCACGTTTCTGTCAACCGCAGAGTAAAAACTCAATTTCTTTTCAAAAGAAACCGGAAACCAAATTCAAAGCCTAACATACCATATCAAAGATATAGCATACACAAATAGTAATGAAAAACATAAAAAAAACTATAGTCCCTTAGCAGTTCATGAATGAGCAAATAAAACCGTTGATTCAATAATGTGTATGTAACCCTACAACCTCTTTGTTCTCCAATCGATCCAACATCCCTTTACCCTTGTGAGAAAATTCACGACCACCCTCTTTTGCAATCTCTCAACCCTACACAAAAAATATGCCATTAATCGAAAGAAAGTAAGTATAATTACCGCATTACACATCATTGTGAAGTGTTCTTTATATATGGTGCAAATTGGCCAATTAATTATCTTTATTACTTTTATTTTAACAAAATTGTCATTAAAAATTACACAGTAAAAAATGTACTGTTTTGCAATTTATACATTCCATTCTGTAATGAAATGAACAATTTCATCCCCTATTCCATTATACCAAATCATACAATTAAAAAAAAAAAAAAAACCTGAATTACAAACAAAGAAAGCTACCTTTCTGGGACATGTTAACCAGTGGAAACGACCCATAAATTTAGCAAGCTGCACATAACAAAAGGGGAGAGAAAATGTTGTCATATTGAACTATAGGGACCTATCTTGCATATATATAATAAAGTTGAGAATTAGTATAATATATAATAAAGTTGAGGGATCATTTCTGACAACACCTTAGGAACTTTATTGTTCCTAAGGTGAGACTTCTTTAATATATATATATATATATATATATATATATATATATATATATATATATATATATATATATATATATATATATTTGCAATTGTTATTCCACATTTGATTCCTACTTTGATTTACAATTGTTATTTGCTTCGACATTCATATTTTAGAGCAATTTTATGATTGAATTTATGTTTTGTTCTCATTTAGTAGATGGAGGTTGTTACAATGCTTTGTTATTGGGGTGGGACAACCTGTGATGGACCAGATTGTATAAATTATAGCAAAGCTCCAAAAAAAGCAATCAATGTTAACCGTAGAATACAATTTGATGAATTGGTCGACCGTATATATCTTGCTACATCTTTTGATAAACAACACCACCGCATCAACTTAATTTGTAGATATCTATCGGTTGGTATTGGAAATGTTGTAAAATACATTCCTCTTCCCATCAAAGATAATGATGATGTTGGCATCATGTTTGATGTACATCGTGTCCATCAAGAAGTAAGTCACATTGATCTCTATTTAGAGGTTGAAGACATTGATCAAATTCGACACATAGAGATGGAATCTAGGTATAAACATTTGTGGTTTACATGATTTACAAGTTTCTACTTATTTTGAATGTGATAACTTATTTTGTAATATTTGTAGCAGAAATCATGAACCGGTTGTGCTAGAAGAGCAAAGGAACAATGAATTACTATTACCTAATACGAACCATGCTAATGTCATATCAGATATGATTCATAATGAAGATTTCTACTGTGACAACCCGAACTTTTTTCCGTTACCGTTAGTCGATTTCCGTTAATAAAATTTGAATTTTATTGAGTTCCGTCAAATTCCTTTGGTTTGGAAAATCATTTAGTTATATAATTGTATTTTATATATATATGAGTCGGAACCAAAATCACGCGAAAAACCCGAGTTTCCTTTGAAAAATTAATAGTTTTCGGCCTAAGTGATGTTCACGGGCGTAAACCCGTTTACGGCCGTACACCCGTTTACGGCCAGCGAAGGGTGGCCCCCCACCACCGACCATGGAACCCCCCTATAAATACGAGCATCTACCCTTCATTTACACTTTTCTGGCCGAAAACTCCCCCATTCTATCTCTAACCTCTCAACCGCAAACACCAAAACACCCTCTTTTCTTCCGAAAATCATCAAGAATCATCTTTGGAGGTTGTTTTGGAGCATCTAAAACGCACTTTTCATCAAATCCAACATCATTGTTCTTGAGTTTACGGTCGTACACACTTCAAATCTTCAAACGCCGCAAACCGTATACGGTCGTACACCCTTCAAATCTTCAAAGTTTCTTTAAGAACATCCTTCACGTCCGTAAACCCTTCAAGGGGCTGTTCACGGCCGAGAACATTTCATGGCCGGAAACCCTTCATGGCCGCAAACTCCTTCACACCGTGAATCTTGGCTGAAAACCCACTTTCCCCGATTCAATCGAGTCCCGGTAACATTCCTAAACCGAAAACAAGTGTTTTTCTAACACTATAAATAATGGTTTCGCTAATAAAATACAATTATGTATTTAATTGTTGATTAGGATCCCGTTAAGTACCACGTGCATCCAACCAAGGATCTTCACTCCCAGTCTCGCTATCCGATTAATCACAAGATTAACAGTGAGTTCATACCCTTATGCTTTTACTATTTTTTCATGTTTTTAGAGGGGGGGGGGGGGGGAATACAAGCCAAACACAAATGATTTTGTGAACTTATACAAAAGAATTTCAACAGGTTTAAAACTTATGTAATTGATAAAACCAAAAGATTTCCATGTTTTATAAATATTTAGATATTTTATCCCTTTTGTAACATGCTGAGCATAAGGGACGTTTTCAATATACAACCATAATTGCATAGTTTTCAGGTCAATACACGAACCAAGCACATAACATACATGCAAACTATAATAGGTATAATTTGGGAATTCAATACACGATTTTGCATATACAAACATATAAACTATTATAAGAATATAGTTTAGGGAACGAACGTATCTTTTTATAAACTTATCCGTTATTTATAAAAAAAGGTTTTCTGTATTATTACTTGCAGAGTCGTTAATCTAGTTTGAGAGACACGTCTTTGGGTACACTTACATGCACTAGTGGAAGACTACCCTTACGAATCAGAGTCTCCTCGAGGGAGAGCGTGAGTTTTTGTGTAGATCTATACGGGACTGACAATCTCGCACCTTGCTGTTAGCTACAGTAGGACCGGCAGGTCTACGGGTGACAAAGTCATAAAGGATATTGGCGTCCGATTCACGTCGTATCAGTTAGTATGGTCATAAAACTCGCAAGTAGATAACAACAATATATTTACGTAGTAATATACTTTACATGAACAATGATAATTTAATATAAGTATGTAAAATACATGGTTTCATTTTAAGTAATGAAACTACTATACATACTGGTGGTAACCAGGGTTTTTAAACAGAACATTCTATACATTACTGGTGATAGCCATGGTTTTCATACAAAGGGATTTTTCATTCAAAACAACATGATACAATACATTTGGTGGTAATCAGGCATACAAACTAATACATTATACACTACTACTAAACACAATAATAATCATATATGTAAGAAAATATTGGATTTTCTTGGGAAGCATACACACATTTTACAGATTCAATGACAGGTTTTCATTACAAAAACATGCTTATGAACTCACCAGCTTTTATGTTGATACTCGCTTTTCAAAACCACTTGTATTCTCAGGAAATCAGTAGACAGGTACCCCCACAACTTTTGAGAAGACGGAGCGTATAGAGTCTCGTTTTTATTTTGCTACTTTTGATGTATATAAATATGAATCAAACAGATGTAAATACCTTTTTATATATATATTCAATGTAATGGTTGAGTTTACTTTGATTATTATGATGCAATTGTTGTGATACTACATATGACGTTATCCACCCCCGAACGTTTCTACCGTTCCGATTTGGGGGTGTGACAGATTGGTATCAGAGCTATTGTTTATAGTGAACTAAGTATACCGAACCTTACATGGTATACAACTATAAACACTAAAGGGGCCGAAGTGCTCTGAAACTAAAAGTATACTTTAAAAATACAAGTATTTTTACAAGAAGTATACAAGTATACATACGTACAAGAGGCTAACATAGTAAGAACTACATAAAAGTATTTAGGACGAGTTGGACACTGCGGTTATACCTGGATAGTTATGTAGTCATATGTGGGGCCAATATAACCTGATCAACTATATTTGTTCGAGATATGATCAACATGTGTTTGGGAGTGACAGTGGTGTCGCAACAAGTCTAAAACTCACCAAATCATATACAAATGAAGCACATAGTTAAAA